ACACGCAGAGGCCGAGGAGGTGGAAAAGTGCCACCAAAACCCAGAGCAACAATGTCCTAGGGCAGATGACAAGAACCACTGGGGGCCGGGAGGTTACAGTCAAAGGTCCAGCCCCCTCGGGTGATCGTTCCGGCATGGCCAAGCCAAGTCTGGGGGAGGTTACAAGAACAACCCGAAGGCCTGGGCACAACCCGTCCTTCTGGAACACTCTTGGACACCTCCAAGCTATTGAGTAGCTTGGAGTGGTGTTGTACTCCTCGTGAAACACCTTCAATCTAAGCGAGAGTTGTCAAAGCTAGATTGTCACTAAGTGTATTGGGCTTAATACTTTAGTGAAATCCATCTGAAATAGGGTGGGACTAGATGTAGGAGGATTACACCACCTCTGAACCAGGATATACTGTGTGTTGATTTACTTTCAGTCAACAAAGCACACACCAAACACTTCTCACAACAGATTGTAGTTTGCCAGCAGCATCCTAAGCAGCAGTCTTAATTGACCCTACTGCTTATCCTACTGCTTAGGATATGTTTGGTACAACGAGCTGGAACTGGAGGCTAATGTCTGAAATATGGGCTATAGTCTGAATTGAAGACTATTGTCTGGAGATGAACTTTGAAGTGCAGAATCTGAATGGCTAGCTGAATGGAATAGACCCGTTTGGCAAAAAGAACGGAAGAAGTGCAGGGATAATGTAAAATTACATTAATGGACATATGGTTTAATTTATTAATAGAATAAAATATTAGTTAAAATGATTTTTATATTTTCAGCCAGTTTTAAAACTTAAGTATATATACGACGTATTTAATATATTATATTTGTATATGCCTGTGTGTATATAATATTTGTTATAATAAATTAACTTTATGAATGTATACGAATCATGAATAACTCATCGTTGAAGAATTAGATTTTTGACATGTAGCATTATAGAAGTTGCTCCTATTAGTTGCTCCTATTACCCGAGGAAGGGACAAACCAGAAAAGAACAACGATGTGAAGGGGTAGGATAATTCTCGAAAGAGAGTGTAGTAAACAAATTGACTAAACCCAAACGCTAACTTCACGTTTTATTTCAGCCCTTTTTTTCCTACTGCATCTCCAGGTAGCCTTTCATCCAAACACTACTGGCTATGTAATTATTGGCTGAAATAGAAAAAATTCAGCCCATTATCAGCTGAAATGGCTTGACAAACATAGACTAAAAAAATTCAGCCCATTAATAGCTCACTTTTTTTGAGACAATCTTTCCACAAGAGCTTTGCAATATTATCACTTAAAGGCCTGTTCTATCAAATCTCACGAAATCATTTTAAAGCATAGCAGTTGCCTCAGCAGTCTCCTGGTGACTACCCAACTGCTAAGCTCACTGCTCATACAAAAGTATTTCCTTTGAACATCTCAACTTCACCAGACCTTCACAATTCTATCCCCAAGGAGTCTGTTCAAACTGATCTCTGAAACTCAAGCTGTAACCTAGCAGGTGCCTCAGCAGTTCCCTCATTGCCACCAAACTGCCAAGATCATTGCTCATTGTTTAAAGTCCAAACATCATTCAAACTAGAAAGTTGTCACACACTAATCATCAAGAGGCTAAAGACTTCCGCTGTACATCTATAAATCTCTCAGAAGATTTTAGATCAACTCATCTAGAAGGGAAAAGTTTTCAAAGTCGAAAAAGCTTTGAAAGTCTATTCACCCTCCCCCTCTAGACTTTTACCTCTATCCGGGACCATCAAAAATTATAAAAAAGATGTAAAATTAGATAAACATATTTTGACACTACTGAAAACTGATTATAAGTTTGTATGAAAAGTAGTTTTTTTAAAACCAGAATAAAATCCAAAGTAATATATAATTAAAATATTAAAAGAATCCAATTTTTTATAAAGTTCAATAAAAATAGAAAACCTAATTCATAAATTTGAAAAAAATAATAAAATATTAAAAATTCGATAATTAAAAATTGTGAAGGACCTTGTAAAAATTTGAAAACTCGAAAAAAATGAAAAATGGAATTCTGTCATGTGACGTTGCTAAAATAGTAAAATAAATAAAATAAATAATTATTATTATTATCTTTTTCATCATCATCTTATTGTTACTTATTGTTGCATATTGTTTTTTTGTGTTTCTTTTTGTTGATAACTTTGATTTCTTTTATTTTTTGTTCATGGTTCTTGTTGCTCATATTCATAAATCCAAATTATCATTTTAGGTGTTTATATATGTATTTATGTATCACTTTTTATTCCAAAGAAGTATGAAAGAAATATAATAATTCAAAATCAATAATAAATACAAATAAACAATGTGATGCAACAAAAAATAACACGATGCAACAAAAAATAACATGGTGCAACAAAAAGCAACATGGTGCAACAAAAAGCAACACATACTATACAACAAAAAGAAACAAAAGGCAATACAATGGAACAAAAAACAACATGTAAGATACAACATAAACAAAAATTAACATGTTTCAGAATTAATATATAGTTCAATCTATCAACTCAAATTATTACAGTTATCAACATATTATTTGATTTTGCATCTTCACATCCTTCTTCTTCATTGATTTTCCAAGTCTTATTATAATTTCTATGTGCTTCTTTTATACGCCTGCAATGAGAATGCAATCAATATGACACAGATTTAGAATCAATTATAATAAGGAAACAATACACGTAGAATTGGATCACCAGAATATATCTACAACTAGCTGACAAGAAAATAAGAAAACAAAAAAACAAAAAAAATGATACTCCTATAAGATTCATTATGAAAAATATATTAAACCTTCTGGAAATCAGATCAGTTATTCATAATCATTATCATACTTGAGGACTAATCGACTAATGATGTTTTTACTTGGACTGTAATTTGCTGGTCTGGTCTGGTCTGGTATGGTCTGGTCTGAACTGGTCTGGTCTGGTTTCTTTGTATTTTTATAACTATCCAAGTCTGGTCTGGTCTGGTCTGGTCTGGTTTCTTTGTATTTTTATAACTATCCAAGTCTGGTCTGGTCTGGTCTGGTCTGGTCTGAACTGGTCTGGTCTGGTCTGGTCTGGTTTGATCTGGTCTGGTCTGGTCTGGGACGAATTACAGTCCAAAGTAAAAACATCCTAAGGAGAGGGTAGACATACTTTTCATACAATCAAGCCTTACATACTTTTCATACCGTGCAACGGGTGCATGGTGAACACCATGCACCCATTGGATATTATTTTCTCTTTTTTTAAAAATGGTAATAACTTTTTTATTTTTGATCCGATTTTTATAAAATTTATATCAACATTTTTTATTTTTCATGATCTTTCAAATGAGACCAATATTGCCTATGTAATTTTAACATATTAACATTTACGTGTAAAATATGTAACTTTACGTGTTAAAATATGTAACTCACGTTCAGTCAGGCCAAATGCAACTCGTGTGTATAAATATGTATCTCTACGTGTAACAATATACTACCTCCGTTCTTAAATAAATGCAACACTTTGACTTTTACACTATTCATATGTTCTACTTTGACTACGTTTTATTTATTAATGTAATAATATTATTTTATGAAAAAAATATTGTCAAACTTGTCTCATTGTAAATTTTCATAATCTAATTTTTTTTAATTTTTTTACTAATACAAAATCATTTATATTAATGGTCAAAGTTGTGTCTCGGCAAGTGTGAAATGTTGACTATTGCATTTATTTAAGAACGGAGGAAGTATAATTTTACGTAAAAAAATATGTAACTCGCGTTCAGACAGGTCAAATGCAACTCGTGTGTATAAATATGTAACTCGCGTGTATAAATATGTAACTTTACGTGTAAAAATATGTAACTTTACGTGTAAATATATGTAAGTCGCGTTCAGGCATGTCAAATGCAACTCGTGTGTATATATATGTAACTCGCTTATAAAAAGATGTAACTTGCTTATAAAAAGATGTAACTTGCTTATAAAAAGATGTAACTCGCTTATAAAAAGATGTAACTTGCTTATAAAAAGATGTAACTCGCTCATAAAAAGATGTAACTCAATGTATTATCAAATGTAACTGAGGCCACTGATCCACTCCCAAACAGATTCGATCTTCTATTTCACAAACCTAATCTCCCAAACAGATTCGATTTTCCTTATAATCCAATACTCATTAATATAATAGTTCGATAATTTCTTAAAATTACATAAGCAATATTGGTCTCATTCGAAAGATCATGAAAAATAAAAAATGTTGATATAAATTTTATAAAAATCGAATCAAAAATAGAAAAGTTATTATCATTTTTTAACAAAAAAAAAAAATAGCAGCATGCTGCGTCATTTTGCAACCGGGCGCACCATCCTCATGATGCGCCGGTTGCACGTATAATTTGCCGTTGTAATAATATAAATCTACAACTAGCTGAGAAGAAAATAAGAAAACAAAAAAAACAAAAAATGATACTCCTATAAGATTCATTATGAAAAATATATTAAGAGTAGGACTTGGGGTACACATTTTTTGTGTACACACTTTTTACACATGTCTGTGTAAGGTTTTTTTTATGTCTGTACAGACATAACGTGTTTTTTAACACGTTATGTCTGTACAGACATAAAAAAAACCTTACACAGACATGTGTAAAAAGTGTGTACACAAAAAAGTGTGTACCTTTAGAATTTTTCATATATTAAACCTTCTGTTATTCATAATCATTATCATACTTGAGGACTAATCGACTAAAGATGTTTTTACTTGGACTGTAATTTGCTGGTCTGGTCTGGTCTGGTCTGATCTGGTCTGGTCTGACTGGTCTTGTCTGGTTTCTTTGTATTTTTATAACTATCCAAGTCTGGTTTTATCTGGTCTGGTCTGGTCTGATATGATCTGATCTGATCTGGTCTGGTCTGGTCTGGTCTGGTCTGGTCTGGTCTGGTAGACATACTTTTCATACAATCAAGCCTTCCAGCTAAGGGTTAAGAAAGGGTGGTTGGTATGATCGAAAAGATGTAGAATATGCGTTGTAATAATATAAATGCAGATGGAAAATCAATTTGGGTTTATTTGGGCCCATCAAGCACGTCTTCCCGAATTTCTCCTATCAGACATTTTCATACCAGCATTGCTCTATTATGGAGAGCTCAGGCGAACCCGACAGCGACCTCTATACCATCCCCAGTTACACCAGTAAGAACCATTATCACAGCCTCTCTCTCTATACGTATGAGTATCTCCATCGGTTTTATTGATCCGTAAAACCTAATTTAATTCAATATTCTTTTATGCAAACTCAGGCTGGTTTTCGTGGAATAGCATTCACGAAGTAGAGAGGCTGTCGCTGAGAGAGTTCTTCGATGGGAGCTCGATCACACGGTCTCCCAGAATATACAAGGAGTACAGGGACTTCATCATCTTCAAGTACCGGGAGGATTCGGGCAGGAAGCTCACATTCACGGAGGTGCGGAAATCTCTGGTAGGAGACATCTGTGTGCTCCAAAAGGTCTTCACGTTTCTCGAGAAGTGGGGGCTAATCAATTTCGATCCAAGTAAACCAGAGCCAGTTCAAGCTGGGGCGGAAGAGGAGGTGGAAGAGGATGAAAAGTGGAGGGTTAGGGTTGAGGAAGGGGCTCCTTATGGGGTGAGGATTATTGCCACTCCGAATTCGAGTAAGCCCCTTGCTCCTCTGCCGCCAGCATTGGTTGTTGCTGCTTTTGGGGCCCAGAATGTGGTCAAAATGCCGCCCTTGGCATCGTACTCTGATGTTTATGGTGAGTTACTGGAGCAGCAGAAAGAATGTATGGAGTGTGTCCACTGCAAAGAGCACTGTGCATCCGGGCATTACAAATGTATCAAGGTGCATTCTGGATCTCTTTGCTTTAGCTCATATATGATGATGATCATGATTACAATTTACCACTCTCTCCGTCCCGAAATTATCTTCATTCTTTCCTTTTCGATCCGTCCCAAATTTATCTGCTCTTTCTCTCTTTGGTAAACAATATGTGGTTCACAACCATTCTTACACATTTATCTTTCCTCTGCACAACTCTACACCACACAAATCTCACTATCTTAATCCACGTGCCCAGTCAAAACCGAATTTAATTATGGGACGGAGGGAGTACTTTTTATGTACTGTATATTTTTGTTATAGAGGTCTGCATTTGTTTAATATGTATTTCAAGGATTAAACATCCAAGCCTTATTCAGAAAAAGAGAAGAAAGATAAGAAAAATAAAAATATAAGATAAAATAAAATGGATAAGATAAATATAAATATATAAGATAAAAATTTCATAAGAGCATAAGAAAGATACTCTCTCCGTCCCGTTAAAATGGGTTGTTAATCATTCTCACTACATTCTTACTTTATAAATTCAATATCAACCACACAAACCCATTATTCTTAATAAACGTGTCACCTTCTCATGTCTCAATGTTAGTGGGACGGAGGTAGTAAAAGATAAAAGGATAAAAAAAATATAAGAAAGATAAAAGATAAAAATAACATAAGAGAACATAGGAAGATAAAAAGATAAATGATAAAAAAACAAGAGAGAGAAAAGATATTAATCATCCATACGAATATGCGACCTCCACTTTGCTCTCTCAAAGTTATACTCTCATCCAACCCAAGAAGAAGAATATCTGTTCTAATTTCTCTAATACAAGTCTGTTTGGATCTTCCTCTCCTCCCCACCTCTTCACTTGTCTAAGAGGTGCATCACTCGGCCTTTTACGTATATGACCAAGGATTAAAGTGAGAGTAACACACTAACACCTATAGAAGATAAGATGTAGGAGTCTCGATTGCGGTGATTTGGTCATGTGTGTAGAAGATCGAGTGATGACCTGTTAGATTGTTAGATGAGTTGAGAGCTGGGGAGAAGAGGCAGAGAGGAGAGGGAAAAGAAAACCCTAACAGACTTGGATTAGAAGAATCAAACTGATATGCTTCCTCTTGGATTGGATGAGAGCATGACTTTGGAGAGAGTAAAGTGGAGCACACATATTCTCTTTTATCTTCTTTACCTTTCTATGTTCTTATGTTATTTCTATTTTTTATCTTTCTTTATCTCATATTTATCTTTATCTTATCCATTTTATATATCTTACCTTATCTTTATATTTTTCTTATGTTTCTTTTCTTTTTGACTTTGATATCATGGATCGATTCATGTTAGTTGGCTCCAAAATCTTTTGGGAATAAGGCTTGGATGTTGTTGTTATGGTAGTAAAATAAAAATGATAACAAAATTGTTGCTTTGTTTAACCATCTATATAGGAATTCATGCAAATATAATGTCTTTTACTTGCTTTAATGCGTTCATGTATTATCGTCTTGAAATGGGACGAGGGAAGGGGGAGTTTTTCCATCTTTGCAATGGAGCCAAAGACTCACTATTTTTGGGCTTGAGAATATGATAGAATAAAGCAAAATTGCTTACTAAACTGTTTGCGCTTCTTTGTTATGAAGCAACAGTCAGTCCATGCAATTTTTGACGCCATTTTCACTATGGTCATACAGAAACAATCTCTCAGTGCATTAGTACAGGGGTAAGACTGCGTAAATCTGACCCCCTACCCCACCGAACAGTGGCGTATCCAGATAATTCGGCCAGTGGGGGCAAATTTACACTAACATTATCACACATTTTTTAGGAAAGAAATATTAATTAAATAATCCACAGTTTATTAAAAATAAAATAAATTTTTATAAGAACCAGATGAAATATTTATTTATAAGTTTATAACTAATTTAAGTTACAAATAAACAAGTGTGTTTTAATGCTAAGTGAGAATGATGTGATTGAAATTACAAAATAATAAATTATTTTAAACTAATTTGTTTATTAAGTACAAAACCAAATATATAAAAGAATTGGAAAAATATATAACTATAAGTGCTTTAAGTTACAATTAAATAAGTTTTAATATTAAGTGTGAAAAGATGTTATTAAAATTACATACTTGGTATCATTTAGTAGCTACATTAAAAAAATTAATTGAAATCTTAAATTTAGACAAATTTTGAACAGTTGTAATAGGGCAAAAAAATAAATTAAACAGGGTTGGAGCTTGGAAGATTCGAACCCTTGAGAGAAGAGCAGACCGTGCAGCACTCCAACCAGTTGGCTAGTACGCTAGCTTTGTCATTTCTAGACTTTAAGCATTATTATACTGTATATAAGACAATAATATATATATATACACACAAATAAATTTTGATATATATATAAGGAAAAATTGATTGTAATAATCCCAACTATTGGCGGCCCACTTATAATAATCCCAACTATCGATTCTCTCTGAATAATCCCTACTTTAGTGACCTTCCGCCAATAATGGTCCATGACCAGATATGACCTGCTATAACAAGCGAATTTTGAATAGAAATAAAGCGTAAAAATTAAAAAGTTGAATTATTTATAGGGATTACTTGTTATATCTCTTCTCATCCGGTTCAGAAATTATAGGAATTTACTTATAGCCGGTCATGTCGGACCATTATTGGCGGAATGTCACTAAAGTTGGGATTATTCTGAGATAATCGATAGTTGGGATTATTATAAGTGGACCGCCAATAGTTGGGATTATTACAATCAATTTTTCCTATATATAATGGGGTAAGGTGGGGGTTGAGTGGGGGCAGCTGCCCCCCTGTCCCCACGCTAGATACTCCCCTGACACCGAAGGTGTGAGAGCCTTTGTGGCACTGGGTAATGATGATGATGATGAATGGGAAGGGGGGAGTATTATTTAATCTTCTACCTAACTAATGATAGTTTGTAAACATATTTGGCAAAGTTTGATTTTTTTAAACTATAGGTCGGGGTGTTATCTGCTCACCAGAGGATATAAATCAAAGTGTGAGCTATTTGATTTTAATTTTCTAAAGGAAAAAGGGGCAAATAAGCCCACGTACTAACCAAAAAAGGTCAAATAAGCCCTTATATAGGAGACTATGTTCGGTCGTCATCATTTGGGGGGTTCTCAGTGGAATTTTTTTATTCATTTTTTTGAGCATATTATTCATTAAGTCTAGTTGACTCATACCAAATTTCAGCTAAAACTTCAATCGGGAAGACATTCAAATGAATTCTTGAAGATAACTGCGCAGTTAAAAGCGCAGTTATCTTCAAGAATTTATTTGAATACCTTCCCAATTGAATTTTTAGTTGAAATTTGGTATGAGTGAACTAGACTTAATGAATAAGATTCTCAAAAAAATTCATCAAAAAATTCCACTGGAAACTGCCCCAAATGACGACGGCCAGACAGAACCTCATATATAAGGGCTTATTTGACCTTTTTTGGTTAGTACGTGGGCTTATTTGCCCCTTTTTCCTTTTCTAAAACACAGTACATAACTATTCATATCAAACAGGAGTTGCATATTTTGTTTTAACCGAAATCTCATAGTGAACTCTTATATTCCTCACCATCACTGAAATCATGATGAATTGGACAAAGTGGGTGTAAAAGCATTTCTATTTCATTTGAAAAGGCAATTCTATTTTTCGTATTTTATTCCTTTTCTCGGTTCAGGAAGGGGGCTTCATGTTATGTGAGAATTGCTTCAAAGACGGTAAGTTTGATAAGGATAAATCTGGGGATGATTTCAAGTTTGTTGAAAGTGGGAATCCTCAGGTTGTCTGGACTGAACCAGAAACTTTACTCCTATTTGAGTCCATTCTCAAGCATGGAGATGACTGGGATCTTGTTGCTGAAAACGTGAAAACAAAGACCAAACTTGAATGCATCTCAAAGCTTATAGAACTGCCGCTTGGTGATCATATGCTGGTTTCTGACAACAAGAAGAATAAACTTATGGATTCAAATGGCGATGTGAATGGTTTTGAACTGGCACTTCTAGCTTCAAGTGAGCCCCAAGTAACTATGAGAACCGAGCTTCAACCCAATGACAGTAAGGTGTTGTCTTCTTCAACTTATTTTCGGAACTAATTACCTATCCTATTTTTATTCAGACAAAACTAAATCTGAAACATTGAGATGAGATGATATGTTTTATTTTTAACAAGAAAAGTAGACAAGATGAGAAACGTTTATATCAGACCAGACTAGACACATTCAGACCTCGAGTAAACTTAAAATATTTAAATTATACCACACTTTTTCAGGTGAAGAGAACAGAACCTCAGAATGGGCCACATAATGGGGATGATGAAAACCAAGGACAACCTATGAAGAAAAGATGCAGCCTGCCAACAATTTCAGGACCTAGCTGTTCATTAATGGAGCAGGTAAACTAGCTCCACTGTTATGTTTTGCTATCTTTGTATGTCAAGTTCAAAATTGTGAAATCATTTTTTTCTATATTATATCTTTTGTTTTGGTCTATCACATGGTCCGTTGTCTCCTAATAAAACAACTAAAACACTTAAAATTATCTAAAGGAAATAAAAGTGAGATTCCACCCTCATGATCTAGTAGGAATTTTATAGGGAAAGCTTATGATACATTTACACAAGTCTCTCATGAACACACACAAGCATAGAGTAAAGAGCATGCTTTTTTCTTGAAGGGGGTTAAGAGCCTGTTTGGTAAGTATTATTTGGCTAGTTTTGCTGGACCAACTGATTTTCTGCAAGGGTCATTTGGTAAAATCAATTTCAGCCAAATAAGCATGTCAAAAGCCTACTTATTCTGCTTAGTAAGCAGATAAAGGCACGTTTTGATGCCAAACTGGCTCTTAGTGTATAGACTATGATGAGGTGCATATCTGGATTACATGTTGGTTATAAAATGCTAGTTTGAATGCTTATATGCCACCATCAGAATTCTTCTATACCTGTTTGCTGCTCTTGATTGATGAAAATTACTCTTAGGTAGCCGACATCTCAACTGTTGTTGGTCCATGGGTTGCCTCATCTGCAACAGAGGCCGCTATTACCACACTTTGCTATGAAAACCAGTGTTCCAGGGAGATATTCAATGATATTGAAAGTCTTGATGATAAATTGAGATCTGACCTTTTAAATAATGAAAAGGAAAGGTGATTTATCCAATTTTCTACTCGTAATGATGCTCTTAACTTGAACATGAATTATACTTGTGTGATGATATCGGGCTTTACTTGTATAGTCTTTTATTTCTTAATTTTGTGATTTTTAATTTTAATTGGGAGGCATAAGACTTCTAAGTTTGGATCATCATTGAATTTGCCCTTTAATCATCAAGTGCGCCTATTATTATCTATTGAAGTCTGTCAGACATTGGGGATGCTTTGAAAATAAAAAAGATATATCTCAGTTAAGTTGAATAAATTGCTGTGCAGTTTTTGATAAGTTAATATTTTCATCAAAGTTGAGATCCACTGCCCTCTTCTTCCTCATTATGGTGAGCAGTGTGAGCTTGCTGTGGCATGTCTACTCTTTTCTCTAGGTTATAGGCCATGTTTGGCAATCAGCTGTCTGTTAAGTGGTTCTAATAGTTGTTTAACAATAGCTGATTGTGTCAGCTATTTCAGCTAGCTAGTTATTTTAGCTTATTGTCCACGGATGTTTGGTAAAATTAGCTGTTTAAGAATAGCTGAGAATAACTGCTAGTGTGTAAAAATACATACGAGGACATTAGTACAAAAATAATACATCTATGAATTCCAATAACAACAAGAACAACAACAACAATATTAATAAACAACAACAATAATATTAATAACAATTATAATAATAATTATTGTAATTATATTTATAATAGACTTTAATTAGATGGAAAACATAATTAGTAATGTTGTGCAATTTATGAACTAGTTTTGATTGATGTAAGTGTGCATGCTAAATAAAGATCAATTTACGAACAAAGATAAATCCAAGAGGATAGCCATATTTACAATTGAAATTAAAAAGCTAAATATTAGATTTTAGTAAACAGAGAAACGATATTCCAAAAAAATAAATAAAGAGAAAAACGAATAAAAGACTAAATATACATATTCTGGAAGACTTTGCACGCACCTGCAATTTGCGGAAGAATTTTATATCACCAAGCCACACACTCATATTAAAAACTAAAAAGAGACGAACCATGTGCATAGAAGATTTAACAGATGCATGAAACTTGAAGCGGTGAAGGGCATAAAAGAGAGAGATGGAACAGCCGATGCAAAACTCTACACCCTGCAGCGCTACACCCTGCAGCGTTTCAATATTTGATTCAAATGTTTTTCTTTTACAAGCTGAATAATATGGGTTTTAATGTTTTCAGTTCTAAGGATGTTTTTACTTGGACTGTAATTTGCTGGTCTGGTCTGTTCTGGTTTCTTTGTATTTTTATAACTATCCAAGTCTGGTCTGAATTGGGCTGGTCTGGTCTGGGAGGAATTACGGTCCAAGTAAAAACATCCTAATGCAGGAGTTGTATAGCTCTAGGCATTACTTGTATTGTGTTCTTTATTTTTATCCGTCTTCTTGCTCTTTTAGAGAAAACTGGGCGCCAGGCGCGTGTCGTGTGTCATTGTTATAACATTTCTAGGGACTGGCCTGTGGTAGTTAACTAGTGGTGGTGCTACTTTATTTGGACATTTGTACTGAGACATATACTTATATCTTAGGTATCATCAAGCAGAAGGGGATGAGATTGGCGAAACAAGTTCAGGTATTTATTTATTTATGGTCAAGAAAATGGTTGTTCCAATTTCTATATAAATTTTTCATGTAGAGTCACATAAGTTAATGTCACCTTGCTAATTTTTCAAGCTGCAATGCAACGGAGAGAACTCAAACTTGGGCATTTGATTTTATTATGCATGTACATAAGAAAATGCTACAAGCATAAACAAATTTACAAACAAATAATGTGGCTCATAAAATCACCATTAATTTGAAGGTGATATGATGGTTAAAAAGTATGATGCTACAACATGTCCATCTTGTTACACTTTTTATAAGTGTGTTTGATCTTGTAGCATAACTCATATATAGGTTGCAATTCCGGTGACAATGACACTTCATGCGTGAACGTGCAGATTTAGTTCATCATGGAACACTTTTATCTTTTGAGTAGTGCAGTTCTCTAAGCAATTAAATCTTTTCAATTTATTTACATAGTGCGACCATGTTTTTTTACTAGTTTTTATTGACTTTTTACTATTGTTAGAGCCTTTAGTTATCGAATACCATGCACCATATTATTCTCATTTCTTTTTCAAGACATCATCTTTGTTTCTAGATATAGACAAGGATAAAAGATGCTCCCAGAAGAAGAGTACTACTATACCTCTGATGCTACAGATGAGGGCTGCAACCGCTACTGCACTTGGTGGTGTTGCCGCCCACTCAAAGTTATTAGCTGACCAGGAAGAGAGAGAAATGGGATATTTGGTATCAACTTTAATTAATACCCAGGTTAGCAGTCTCGCTCATAATGGGGTGGTGGTTGGCAGTTTCCATTATGTCCTTGCGGTTTTGTGTAGGTCAGTTTGGCAGCTGGGATTTGGAGGGTCTAGGGTGTGGCGGATTTGGGTGTCATAGTTATATATTGATGAATAGAAATTTTCTAAAAATAAATAAAAGATTATTGAAATGTTAGTCATATATATTATGCTAATCATTCAACTTTTATATCATCTAAAAAAATATATCAAGATGTAGACCAAGTAGTTAAATTGTTACTTTCCTAAGGCTTGGCAAAAAATCAGTTACGCGCTTAATGTTTCAGAACAGTTACCTCCTTGTCCCTTTGAGATTTACAGACCACTAGATCAAGTTTTTGTTACCCTTATTATTTCCTTTAGTTTGATTTATACAAAAAGTTGTAGCACATATCCTCGTATAGACATGCCCATTAAAAACCATTCTAGTCAAATTCTTTAAAGCTAGCTAATCAACTATTTGAGCTAAAATTTACTCTCACCAAAAGGATTTTAATAATGATCTGCAAAAAATCTCACAGCAGTTTTTATTCGTTATTCCAATTTCTCATTATTTTACCAGTTTGTGTTTTGATGGTTATTATTGTTGTTGTTGTTATTATTATTATTATTATTATTATTATTATTATTATTATTATTTTAGCTTAAGAAGTTGCAATGCAAAATTAACCATATGGAAGAGCTTAAGATGATAATGGGAAATGAGCGAACGGAGATGAAGGAAGTGGAGTCAGACCTAATCAATGAACGAATTGAGGCCTTGCAAAGAATGTTTAGTAATGGGACTGCGCCGGCCAAACCCAGAGTTGAGTCTACTACAAATATGGGGCTGAATTCCCAGCAGTCAGTATAGAGCAACGCTGCTGTACTGCTTGGTGTTTATTTTCCTTTTATGCGAAGCAGATGCAAAGTCATTCATTACTAGGTGTTTTTGAAAAACAAATTGAGTTATTTAATAAAATATTCCTGATAGAAAACTGTGTTATTTAAAAGTTTACCACAACAATAACCTTTTAAAAAAGCTCAATTACAAAGGCGCCAAGTTTTTTATTGTCTGCTGAAATTAATACACTGCGGCAGAAATTGCCGAATTGTGAAATATATGCATTTAACATATACTACGTATTTTACTAAGAAAATAAAGTGAGAAGTTATAGTTAAAACTTTCCTATTCAGCATATTTATTTAAGAAGTATTTTCAACTACTTATATTACGTAGTATTATCTAACAATTTAGTGCACCGGATGGCGGGTTTGCATTGATTACCAGAAATTGAATGAGGTCACTCGGAAGGACCACTTCCCCTTCTCTTTAGGGTGTGTTTGGGAGTTGGCTTTTGGAGGGGAGGAGAAGGTTAATGAAGATTTATGGTCCTCCTTTTCATGTTTCGGAGTTTAAAAAATTGGAGGGGTGGTTTTGGAGGGTTTTTGTAGTCCTTCAAAACCCATCAAATGCTTAATTTTTAAGTTTCCTCAATTTGGAGAATTTTGGAGAATAATTAACGAGATGATATTTTAAGCTAAATTAGAAAGAATATCAACTCAATGATTTGAATTTGTCATATCTCAAAGTGATTTTAATTATAATTCCTTCAAAAATTCTCTCCTTTCAATTTTATTACTCCCAAATACAAAGAAGGGCTTCCTCACCCTCCCCTTCCCCTCCAACAACATACCTCCAAAGCCTTTCCCTCCTCTTCCCTCCAAACTCCCAAACATACCCTTATTGATAAGATTTTAGAGAGATTAGAAGGGCATAAGTTTTACTGTTTTCTTGACGGAATGTCGGGTTACTTCTAGATCCCCACAGCCCTCGAGGATCAGGATAAGATCACTTTCACATGTCTTTCAGTATCTTTGCTTATCGTAGTAGGATTACATTTGGACTTTGTAATGCCCCCTGCTGCCTTTTACTTGGATGGGGAATATGATGAATGGGTTAAGTCCTCAAAGAAGGGACAAGGTTTTAATCTCAAATGAATTTTCTCAACTAAACGGGAACCTCTCCCTTAACAAGCTCAATAGATGCGGTCTCTGATCATAACCCTCTCCTTTTTTGAAAATCCACCCACTCCCTCTTGCCCAAAATGTTTTTTTTGGATAAAGGCCCAAAATGTTTTTAAATTTCAGCACATGTTGACAAACCGTAAATCTTTTCTTTAAAAAAAAAAAAACAAACCATAAATCTTTTCTAAACACTTTCAAAGCCACCTGAGACTAGGGATGGACTCGGGTCTGGGCCGGGCCTAGGCCCGGGTAGGCCGGTGGTTCAAGAATGGTGGACCCGGGACCAGCCCGGGTAGCCACCGGGTCCGGTCCGGGCCGGGCCAAGCCTCCGGTTTGGATTTTTTTTTGCTTTCCTAACCCCCCCCTCACCCCCATCCTCCCAAACCCCCCCAAACCCATCCTACCCATCAAGCCCAACCCAGGTGGAACCCCAAAAATGAAAAAAAAATAAAAAAAAATCAATTTGGCCCGGGCCCCGGCCTGACCGGTTCACCAAATTTGAGACCCGAGCTCGGACCCGCTCTACCCACGGGCCTAGGCCCGACCCGGACCCGGACCCGAGAACCGGGCCGGTCCCGGTCCCGCACAGTAGCGGGCCGGGCCGGTCCACGGGCCGGGTGGCCCGACCCGTGTCCAACCATACTTGAGACCTTCCCTTTGATGGCTAAGGCATGTGGAGATTTTCAACCAAACTCAAGCGCCTTAAAACTACTCTTAGAGATTGGAACAAAAAAAATCTTTGGTAATATTTTTGATAAACATTCTGAATATGAAAAGAAATTCACTATTCTGGAAATAATGTTTCTGATTCCCTTAGTAAAGGAGACCTTATTCTACAGTAGTGGAACGGCCGCCATCCTTATGTAGTTAATAATATTAATAATAATATTGCAATTGCAGCTTTGAATGTAGAAAACAAGAATTGTTAATTAAGGGTTTGTAGGTTGGGTGTTTGTCTATTAGGTTTCATCCATTAATAATATTAATAATATTTTTTGGTGACTTTTCTGTCGTTGGTTATTGACAGAGGTTCATCAAAATATTGTTTTGTGTACTTTTTCAATTTCATTCTTAATTAATGATTTATATTTAAAATCTATTCAAATCCATTAGATCCACATGATTCTATGAAATAGAATTCCATATAAATCACATGGAATGTATAGAGTTCTATTAAAATCCTTAGAATCTACCATCCTTTAAAATAATGTAAAATATGTGTTGGGGACACCCCGTTAAATGTATTTGTGTGCATTTGTAAGAACATAGAAATAAGATAGACCATTCATTTCAGAGTCCTAGAAGCGAAGGAGTGATGGAACCCTATTCATTGACGGCAGCGTTGCCGCCACTGTAGCCTCCTACTAATGTTTGTCCGGCAAACCATTTGAAGAAGTGGTTTCAAATCATGAATTTATCGGTTTCAAAGGTGCTTTCCAATTAGGGATATTGGATAAAAAACATATTCTTATTCGATTTTGATTTGAAGGAGGATTTGATAGTATAGAATAGTTACTGTTTATTTTTGTAACTTTAACTAGTTTTATTTATTGTTGTTTGGAAAATTACACACTTTTGGTGTAACACTTTATTTTTCCTAGTTTATTGTAATTTATTAGTTTTAGAAGATCTTGAGCTTGAATAAATTAGTGTACAACAAAGGAGCATGGAAGAAATCTTACAAGATCAAAGAAAGGTGCAAAGGGAGGAAGAAATCATGCAAAAAATGTGATTTGGTGACTTACTCGGTCGGGTATGAAGAGATAACAGAAGCTTCAAGGAAATTGGACACATACCCGATCGGGTATGGTACTTTACCCGGTCGGGTATGAAGTGACCAAGACAAAAAGACGTGCTGAAACACAAGAACGTGGAAGATCGATTTGATTTTGATCGATACCCCGTCGGGTATGTACCTATACGGCTATACCCGGTCGGGTATCTGGCCAAAGGTGCTGAAAACACCTATAAATAGCACATTTTTCATTCACTTGTAATCAACCCTTCTTCCATATAATTAAGCTCAACTTAGAATAATATTTTATTTATATTTTTCTAGCATGTTTAGTCTCCAAATGAGGAGCTAAACTCTCATTTCTTGGTTTTGCTCTTGAAGCTTGTTGAATGTTGAAGTTGTGAGTTATTTTTTTACTTCTTCCTTTGAATATTAATTCTTCCCTTATTCTATCTCTATATTAATGTTGGGGAGTGTTGCTAAGATGACAATTAGTTAACATCTTGACATTGATTACTACTAGAAACGATCAATGAACCGATGGTTAATCATTGATGGTTTCACAAGTAAGTAACTTTGAGTTATTAACGTCCGGTCATGGTTAATAATCTTAAGAGGGATTAATTGTGTTGGTTAAACCGAAACTGTTGTGTTGAGGTTATCAATCTCAATTGATTTCATCAAGGAGTTAAGAGATTAAGTGCTACTATCAAGTATCAAGTCGGTATATGGCGGTGTTCTATACTTGGCTAATAGTAAGAGTTATTAATGAACGGTCGTTATTAATAACCACCCTCGATGAATTGGAGATACTCCTCGATTGAGTATTCGAGAGAGGATAAGTTATAGATATAACCGAGATCAACAAACATATCAACAAGTGGAAAGTAGCAAAGCCAAATCTTTTATCTCATTAATTAATTAAAATCATATAACTCGATCATCTTAGTACTTAATTAATTAAAACCAAATAATCCCAAAATCCCCTTTTTATTACTAGTTTCGTAAAAGAAAAGTAGGATACGAACTCTACTTCACTATACTACATAGTAGTGTTAGTATTGATTTTATTTTGAGGCACATAACGACTTTTGTGCCGTCAAATTTGGCGCCGTTGCCGAGGAAAGGCAAATATTTTTCTTTTTATTTTATTTAATAAAAATAAAAAAATTAATAAAGAAATTAAAAAAAATCTTACTTTTCTATTTCTGAGCTTTATGATAGTACGTAGTATATGGTAAAAACTCATGAGAAATGAATTTCGAGAAATCATAAGTGAGTCTATTTCCAACAACTTTGAAAAAGTTGTTAACATGGATGCCCACACATCATCCCTAGAGAGTCAAATTTATGACTTGACTTCTTTAATTAAGGAATTTCTTTTATGTTCAAAAGTTCAAGATGTCAAGGCCTCCAACATTTGCATGTCTCATAGGCATCTTACAAATTTTTGCCCGAAGCTCGAAGAAAAATACTTTGAACAAATTGATGATGTTGGTTTCCAAAGGAAAGTACCTCACATGAGGTATGATCCATTCTCCAACTCTAACATGTCCACGGAGGACATGGTTCGGGCTATTGCTACAAACGTGACCACCATGCAAAAAAACATGGTGCAATTCCAAAATGAGACCAAGTCTAACATTTTAAACTTGGAAACTCAAGTGAGTCAAATAGCCGGAGCCATGAGCAAGCTTGAAGCAAAGGATTCAGGAAAACTTCCCTCTCAAATAGAACATGATCCTAAACAGCAAACTTTTGCAATCATATTGACGAATGGGAAGGAATTGCAAAAGGAGACCCCAAATCTAGAAGAAGAACAAAAAGACACAGAGCTTCAGCCAGTAGAAGAAGAGGAAGATTCGATTCCTAAAATCAAATTGCTATCATTTTCATCCTATGAGGAACCCTCACCGTCTCTCCATGCTTTGAGGGAAACCCGAAAGATTGAAAAGAGCAATGAAATTTGTGAAATCTTAAGCAAATGTGAGTACCATTTCTCAACAGCAGCCTTTTTCTTAGGTAGAGTTGTAGGCTTGGTTTGCTTCTTCAAAGGCCTCACATCCTCACTCTTCGTGTTCTTTAGCTTCTGCTCCCTCTTGAGCTCAGCTTTGCTATCTCTTCAACTCAGCCTTAATGGCAACTTTTCTGTTTGAAGATGCAGTTAAGAAAAGTAACTTCTTATGGTCAATCACAACAGTTCTTCTGAGATCCACACCACAAATCAACAAGAACTCTGAGAGGAATAGAGCATCACCCATTTTGGTTGAGTAGAGGCCTTTCTTTGGGTCCTTCTTCTTGATGAACTCAATAATT